ACTCTTGCCCCTGTGACTATCATGCTCAGATTTACTGTCTGGCCGGGGTGTCCCCTGAACCCTGGCGTGTGTGTCTGACTCTCCACTGACAGAGAGTTTATCTGGCTGGTAAAGTAATGCAGAGAGAGAGTGTTCAACCTCCCCCTCCCCCTTTCATTCATCCCAACACTCAGGGCCATGACCTTGGAGTCTTTCTCTCCACTCCAAGTCCTGTGCAGCCCAGCTCAGCACACCTCTACCCTTATCTCTTCCCCATTTCCTTGAGTACTGCCTCAGTGCGGGCTCTATTTCTTGTTTGGGTAATCGAAACCATCTCTTACGTCTACTTGCCTGTATCTGTCCCATGACGGTCTGCTCTCGACTAAATGCTACATAATCTAAAACACACACATCAGGTGGCATCACTTCTGTCTTCAGAACCTGCCAGTGGTAATCCCTTCACTCAGCCAAAGCCCAAATCCTTGAGCAGGGCAGGAAGACTTTCCTCTCGGGGCTTTGCACAGGCTGTGCTGTCTCTTCCCCCAACGAAATCACTCAGCTCATCCCACACCTTCTATTAACCTTTGCTTGAATTTCTCTCCTCAGTGAGCCCACCCAGGCTACCCTGTAAAAACATATTCCCCATCCCTAGATCTCCCAGTTCTCTTATCTTGCAAGATTTTCATTTTCTTCAACACTTACTTCTTTCCAATATGCTGTATTATTTACTGACTTATTATGTCTGTTGTTTAATCTGGTTCTCCCACTAGGTTATAAGGTCCAGGACAGCAATAACCTTCCATCTTAGTCGGCAACATGCCCACAGTTCCTGGCACATAGTAGGCATCTACTAAACATTCATATGAGAGTAAAATGACCAGTTATTTATATCTTTTTTTTAGATTTATTTATTTATTTATACAGAACCAGGGTACAGGCCAGAGATGCGGAGGGTGAGAGGCTTCACCAGAGACAGAGTGGGGAGCAGAACAGGCAGATCGATGAAGTACACTGCTGAGGGGAGCAGCGGGCAGGCCAGGAGAGGTCTGCCGCGCCATGTGGTCGCCTCCGGGGCAGGCGGGGATCGAACTCAAGCGGAAGTGGCCCTAAGCTTCTTAGTGCAGTGCTTTAACCTGCTGCGCCACCAGGAAGGGCCCTATTTATATCTTAATAAAACACCTTTGGTGTCACTGATTTCTCACCACATCATATAGTCTCCATTTCATTTATTTCTGCTCTGATCTCTGCCACTCCCTTCTCTCTATAACCTTAGGTCACTTTCTAGTTCATTGACATGTAAAGACTGTTTACATGAACTCTATTTTTTTGAATATTGGTATTTTTCTTTTCTTTTTAAAGAGATTTATTTATTTATGCATGCATGAACTGGGGTACAGGCAAAAGGTGTGGTGCTGCGCCCGCACGGCAGGGATACGAGTCTGCGCCGGGGACGTCGAGGTTGACGAGTCAGCACATGTAGATGGTTGCAGCAAAACGTTCTCTCTATTATCCTTTCCAGCCTCTCTTTTATACCCTTAATCCCAGGTTGTTGGCCTGGGGCAGGAGGAAATCTCCCTCACATGTGCTACTGCGATCAGGGTGGATATTAATCAGTTGCACAAAGGTTAAGCCACTCACACAGGTGGCAAGATGTCTTCTTCCTATTATGATCTTGTGCTTAAGCTCCGGGGGTGGTTGGGGAGGCTCATCACTGCTGGGACCCAACAGTGTGGAAGGTGAGTAGATTCACTAGAGAGCAAGGAAGCAGAACAGACAGATGTACTATTACACTGCTGAGGGGAACAGCAGGCAGACAGGAGACACTGCTGTGCCATGTGGGTCAGCTCCCTGGCGGGGAATTGAACTCGTGCAGTGGCTGTGGAGAGCTTCATAGTGCTGTGCTATAACCCAATGCTCCACCAGGGAGGGCCCTATTGGTGTTTTTCAATATGACTTCTTCTTCTTCTTTTTTTTTTTTTAAAGATTTATTTATTTATACATACAGAACTGGGATACAGGCCAGAGGTGCAGGGTGGTGAGAGGATTCATCAGAGACAGAGTGGGGAGCAGAACAGGCAGATCGATGAAGTACACTGCTGAGGGGAGCAGCGGACGGGTCAGGAGAGGTCTGCCGCGCCAGGTGGGTCACCTCCAGGGCAGGCGGGGATCGAACTCATGCTGCAGTGGCTTTAGCTTCTTAGTGCTGTGCTTTAACCCGCTGCGCCACCAGGGAGGGCCCTCAATATGACTTCTTCTTAAAACAGATGGTGCACCCCCCACGCCACCGGGCTCAGCTAAGGACACAGCAACCCATGAGCCTCAGATCCTAGTTGAAATACCACTTCAGGAATTCTCAGCTTACTTGAAATTACTGTACCTCAGCTATATATTAATAATAACTTTAAGGAACCACCAAGTTGATGGGAAAATGTCATTTAAGGAGCTTGAGGGTGGTGTCGAGGGGCGAGGTTTTCTCAGCTCTCCTCCCCTTCTGCACGCGGGCTCCCCGGGGCCCGCGAAGCCTCCTCTCTGCTGGAGCGCGGAGCACAGCCCCTCTGCCCGTGAGCACAGCCCCCACGACCTGGGCCTCTTCCCCAGAGCAGACTCATGGACTGGACCAGCGTGGCTTTTACTTACTGCGTCCCTCTAGTAGCTGAAAACAACTTTTACTTAGCGGAGACTTTTTGAGTTCTCTATGTAACGACTTATTACAAATAGAGTTTTACTTCTCCCGTTTGGATTTGGGTGCCTTTTATTTATTTTCCTTTTCCATTTGCTCTGGCAGAGATGTCCAGCACTATGTGGAAAAAAATAGCAAGAACAGGCATCCTTTTCTGTTCCTGATCTTCTGGAAATTTTTTTTGTTTGTTTTTCACCACTGACTGCGATTTAGGGTGACCTTGTCTCCGAGTATGTGAGGTACTTTCTGTCTATGCTCAGTTTGTTGAAAGCATTTCGTGAATGGATGCTGGATTTTGTCAGGTGCTGTTTCTGCACCCCCTGAGATACTCACAGGACTTTTGTCCTTCCTTAGTCAGTGGGGAGTGTCACACTGCTTGTTTGTGATGTTGAGCCACTCGCATCCTTGAAATAAAGCCAACACAATTGTGGTCTGTGATCCTTCATATATTGTTGAATTTGGATTACCACCTAATGCTGAGGTTTTTTTGAATCTATTTTCATCAAAATATTGCCTGTAATTTTATTTTCCTGTGGTTTCTTTATCTGTTTTTGTTTTGTTATCAGGGTGATATTGGCTTCAAACAATGAGCTTCATATTTTTCTCTCTTCAATTTTCTTGGAAGAGTGGAGGGTGATATTATTTCTTCTTTGAATGTTTGGTAGGATCTACCATCTGCTGGAGCCATCTGGTCCTGGGTTTTCATTTGTCTCTGGAGGTTTTTATTACTGAGTCAATCTCCTTACTATTAATTTAATTGTTGATTCAATATTCATGTTATTAATTGGTCTGCTCAAATTTTCTACTTCTTCATAGTTTAGTCAAGATAGGTTAGATATTTGCAAAAATATATGTATTTCGCCTTGGTTGTCCAATTTGTGGCCTATGTTGCTGATAGTAGTCTATGGACCTTGTGTTTCTGTTTTTTTTTTTTTTTATTGTAATTTCTCCTCTTTCATTTATGATTGTATTTACTTGAGTCCTCTCTTTTTTTCTTGTTGAGTCTAGTTAAAGGTTTTGATTTATCATTACAATTATCTTTTAAAAAACAGCCTTTTCACTGATTTTAGAAAACGTCTCCTAGAATCGCCATTTCAGTTATTTCTGCTTTAATACCTATTATTCCCTTCCTCTGCTAACTTTGGGCTTACTTCATGTTAGAGGTCATTGTAGAGTGAAGAGAGGATGTTTACATGAAGTGTATTTTCTCTTAGTAGTTCCCCTTATCAATATGTCTTCTCTTTAAGAATGCATTTGATGTCTCCTCAGTCAAAAGTGGCTTGGCCGTGAACATAGGACCCTGTCTTGAACCAGCTCCTAATTGAAATGTCATTCCAGGGATTCTCAACCGCCTTGAAATTATTACACCTCAGTTATCTAACATCCTAACAGGGGCTAGCAAGCAGTGAAAAAAGACAAACTTATCATTGAGCCAAAGTGGAGTTTAATGTGGCGAGCTCATGACAGCGCGTTGACTGACTCAGCCCTAGTATCTCACTTTCTTCCGCTGGCTTGTGGTCGATGGTGACTGGAAATAGGGCTGATTGCAGTAAGTGGCATCTTACTGCCTGGTTCTCAGCCCCCAGCAACTCATAGTCCCCACCCTACTACATTTTGGTCATGTGATGAGAACATGAAAGCTGGTCATTTGGAATTCTGTGGGCGTGTATTCCTGAGAGGACCCTGGAGGAAGACCCTCCTGGGGGACATCAGGATGTGGAAGAGCAGGGTGTGTGGGCAGGCAGGTCACTGGGAGAAGCCATGGGAAGTGAGTCTGTGCAAGGGTCTTGTCACTCCTCCTCCAGGTTGGCCCTCGGGAAGGGAGGAGGCCGCAGGGATGGAGGTGGGGGCAGCAGGAGGATGAAAGTGCTGTGGGAGACATGTTCACCTTGAGTGGTCTGCTCCTCCCTCAAGCACATTCCCTGCGTGTCTGCGGATGCTGGCCCTGCCCCCTCAGTCTTTGCCTCCTTCCCACAGCTCCTCAAAAGCCCCCTCAGAGCAGCAAACCTGGGGCTGCTGACACACCCCTAAATTGGGGACTCCTTCCCACTCGGAGCCCCCATGTGCAAATAATCCAGAGATGGTCTCCAAGAGCACCACCCACAAAGCCTCCAGTCAGCTTCTTCCACACCTCCCAGGACTCCCTTATCCTTCTTTGAATATCCATTAGGGCTCCCAAACACACTCTGGATGTTGGGGATGTTTAGAGGGATCTAAGACTCCTGAGGGTACTGAGGGACGTGGGTCACCTTCTCATCTTTCCACAGAGCCCTGACACCATGTGACCTATAGCCTGTCCCAAGACAGACCTTGGTCAGCCTCCCTTCCCCAGTACTCACAGTCAGGGCCTCTGCTTCCTGAGCATGTAGAAGACAGAGAAGCCCACCAGCAGCAGCACCTTGAGGCCCAGGAGGACAGTGAGGAGGAGGGCCAACAACTGCAGTCCTCCTGGAAGTGAAAGAAAAGGCGCCATTAGAGGGTCTGCACTGGAGCCCTTCCCTGGGCCTCCACCACCCCTCCTGGGTTCCCTCGACCTGTCAACCTCCAAAGCTTTGACCTGCACCCTTCCCTGGGATTGGGGCAGAAATCAGGGTGAAGAGCATCATCATTCTCACCCTTCTGAGGTGCTGGGGTGTGCCCTGGAGGGAGGGGGAGCACAAGAACCTAACAAGAACCTGGCATCTGGCTTGTTGATTTGTCCTCACACGCCTATGGGTGATGATTGTGCTCTACTGATTGGGAAACGAGGTTCAGAGAATTGAGGGCATCACACGAACAAGGTGATTCCAACCTAGGAAAACCCAGCACTTATCTGCTAGGATGATGCCAAACTTTGCCCTTCAGACTGAGACAAGCCCAGACCACAGGGCCTCGGGAATGAGTGTCCACATGTGTGGGGAATGCAGGCCATTGGTGGGGGGTGGTGCCTGCTTCCCAGGGGTGCTCTCTATAGCAGAGGGAGCCCTCAGGGTGGCTGACCCAAGGAACCCTGCTGGGAGAGCTCCTAGGGAGTCCAGGAAGGGGCTGGTATTTGGAGGGGCTACAAGAGGCCCTGATGTAGGGTGTGCACACAGGGCCAAATCACTGGGGACCCTTGGGTGGCCAGGGACAGGGCAGAGAGCAGCTGTTTTTCTCCAGGAATGGTGTCTGCAGCCAACAGCTAGCAAAAGGGGAAAGTTTACCCCCACCCCTGCCACCTCGCTGTTCCTTGCTCCCTTCTAGAAAATTCTACATTACAGGGTGAAGTGGAACAGAAAGCAGAGAAGCTCACACGTGCACGTGGTGTGTTGTAGTGAGCCGTGGTCTTTGTGGGCCCATCGCCACACTCCAGACTCACACCGCGTCCACGGAGACCAGCCACTGTTGCACAGACAGAGGTGCAGGCTCAGTCGGTGGCTTTATCATGTGGGTGGAGACATGGGACGGGCTGGAAGGTCGGAGGTTGGGGCACAGGAGAGTGGTGACAGGGCTGCAGGAGCCAGCATTGGGGGACAGACAGTTACGAGCAGGCCCGAGTGGGAGCCTCACCCACCACCCTGCTGTCTCTCATGTTTCCATGCAAAGGCCTGCAGGGCTGGGTTCTGACTCCATCTGCGGTCACTCAGGGTGTGGAGTTTGGGGTGACCGGCTCCTTTAAATTTTGTTTATAATCTACAAATTCTAGATTAGCATGAAAACATGAATGGTTACCTGTAACATCAAAAAATGAGATAAAATTTAAAAGTTTGGGTCTGTTGGAGTGGAGGCCTTACCAGAGGCCTCCAGGGTGTGGGTTCTGGAGACCGCAGGCTGCCCGTCATGCTCCACCTGGCAGGTGAGCGCCACGTTCCCCCTGTGGGCAGAGGAGTTCACCAGGAGCCAGCTCTTCCAGGTGAAGGTCCCTTCCTTGTTCTCTAGGAGCGCTGAGGGCTTTTCTGTTCGGGACACGTTTCCGTTCTCCAACCAGGTGAGCTGCAGGTTCCGGGGGTAGAAATCCTTCACCTGGCAGGTTGCATTCACCTGGTTCCCTGCCGCGGGAGAGTGGGAAACCTCCAAGGTGGGCGGAACTGCAACAGCACAGGGCAGAAGCTCTGACCTGATGCACAGACCGAGCCCAGAGAGGGGCCCGGCCCTTGCCCCCACCACAGCAGGGGTCCCCCGCCCCTGGGCAGTGCTGGGCAGGCAGCTGGCCTCCAACACGGAGGCTCTCGCTGCCGCTGCGGGGTCACTGAGCACAGTGCCGGCACACAGTAGGTGCTCAAGGACTGGGGGGCAACAGGGTGAGACTGACAGGCCCCCCGTCCCCCGCCCCCCGCAGGCAGCTGTGGGAGCTCATCACTGTGGCAAATAAAAGCAATCCCCAAGCTCACTGGGCAGGAGGGGTGTGGGGGGTGCCGAGTGCTGGGTGGCTGCAGGTAAAGCCCGGGAAACCGCCCGCTCACCACCCGGCACGTGGAAGTGCCCTGGCAGCTGCCCTGGCGATGAGGGAGTGGCCTGCGCGTGCCCGGCCTGGGGATGGCCAAGGGCGGCAGGCGGCGGGCACCGGCTCGGGGCCATCGGCGCCTGGAGTTCGGGGAGCAGCCGCTGAGGCTCGGGCGGGGCTGGCGTGGGCGGGGTTCACACCTCGGATGGTTTCCGACAAGTTGGCCGTCCCGCGAAGAGGACCCCCCTGCAGGGCGACGTGGGCCACCTCGCAGATGACCTGGGAGCGGACGTCCCCCGCCGTCAGCTGCACCCGGGCTGTGCTGGAGACGCTGTAGGAAACGGCCTCTCCGCTGGGGTCCACTCTGGGCTGGGGTGCTGGCAGCCCGTTCCCGTTTTTGAACCATTTCAGGCTGATGTTTCTGGGAGAGAAGCCGTGGGACTGGCAGGTGAAGGTCACCGTCTTCCCAGGTGTGGCCCTCTCTGTGGGCCCCGTGACCACAGGGCGGGAGGGTTTGGCTACAAAGAGCAGTTGCGACAGTAAGCGCGACAGTGAGCCACCACTGAGGAGAAGCCGTGACGCTGCTTGTGACTCCACCGGCTACTGTTCTGGCTCCAGGGTGCTGGGGTGTCCTCACCCTCACTGAGGCACGCCCAGGTTTGCAGAGGTGAGCCAGGGCCAGGGCGGCTGACAGGGCTTCAGGCCTGGGCTCAGAGTCCCTGTTCTTTCTCCTCAGGGGGTTTCCTGTCATCTGGGCTCAGGAACAACACTCCTCAGTGTGACTCTGAGCTGTCCCTGTCCCCTCCTCCCCACAGCCTTGCCAAGGCCAGAGGCACATTCACAGCAGGAATGTGGGGGGGGGGTTGGAGGGGCAGGGGGGGGCCCGGGGGGGGCAGCACCCACCCCAGCCCTCATCTGTGCAGTGGGACAGCAGGTTTATCCTGGGGTGCAGCAAGGGGAGCAGGCAGGAGGCACAACCAGGGGAGCGCCCAGGCCTGATCTCCAGCTCTCCCTGTGGTGGGTGAGGGATTTACTCCACACGTTTCATTCTTTCTTAAATATTTTTTTTTTAAAGATTTATTTTATTGGTGCATACAGAACTGGGGTACAGGCCAGAGACTCAGGGGTGGTGAAAGACTTCACCAGAGACAGAGTGGGGAGCAGAACAGGCAGATCGAGGAAGTACACTGCTGAGGGGAGCAGCGGGCGGGTCAGGAGAGGTCTGCCGTGCCATGTGGTCACCTCCGGTGACCTGAATTGAACTCATGCGGAAGTGGTTTCAGCTTCTTAGTGCAGTGCTTTAACCCGCTGTGCCACCAGGGAGGGCCTCTTTCTTAAATATTTTTAAAGATTGATTTATTTATGCATACAAGAACTGGGATGTAGGCCAGAGGCATGGGGAGGGGCATGAGAGGAATCACCAGAGACAGAGTGGGGAGCAGAATAGGCAGATGTACTGAAATACACTGCTGAGGGGAGCAGCAGTTGGGTCAGGAGAGGTCTGCTGTGCCGTGTGGGTCAGCTCCTTGGCTGGGGATCGAACTCATGCTGCAGCAGCTGCAGCAAGTTCTATAGTGTTGTCTTAACCCCTTGCACACCCAGAAAGGGCCCCAAACTTTTCACTCTTTAAACAATTTCTCAAGTAGCTCTCTTCTGTGTTCATCTCTGATTCTGAAGGGAGGGGACAGAGGGATGATGAAAAGGGGTCCTCCTTGGGGTCAGTTTTGGGCTGGAAACAAGGATGCCTGAGCCTGAGGAAGCAAAGGTGAGGCACCAGTCAGTTGTCATTACGTAAGAAGCATAGACACAGGCCTAGGAAGCTGCAGAAGCGCCTCCCTTGTCCTGGGTAAGGGCCAAACCTCCGTCACTGCATGCAGGACAGACCAGGTGAGTGACCACTGCGCGGCCCTGTTCTGCATCCTTGAGCACCCCTGTGTGTTTCTGTGCAAAGTGGCCCAGCCTCCGCCCTAGCAGAGGGTGATGTACCCAAACCCGCCCGTGCTGGGCTTGAAGGGCTCTGGGGGCAGCGCCCCTACAGCAGGTGCCTGACAACCAGCTCTTGTGACTTGTCCAGTCCTGGTCCCCGCCTGTCTGAGACTGTCTTGCGGGGGGAGGGGCGGGGTGGTGGTGCAGGGAAGGCAGAAACCCACTGGGAAACAGCTTGGAATGTGAATGTCTCAAGGCCTGCAGCTGCTCTGAAGAACCAGATTGAGAAAAGGACGAGAAAGCGCTGACGGGGACTCTCTGCCTCTTGTTTCTATAGCCCGCTAGAAAGTCGTTTGGTGGAATGACCAAAAGAAAAAAAGAAAAAAACCTATAAATGAGATTGGAGGTGTTTTCACGAAGACTTCCCTGCAGCATTTGAAAGGAAAGGAAGGAGGCGCTTTCTCAGTGACATGTTGGTGGCCAGGCAGGAAGGGCTCTGGGGAGAGCGGCCCTGGGGGCCCCATCTCCTGTTTACATGTTCAGAGGTGGGAGGTTTTCCCAGCAATGAAGCTGGGACCCAAAGTGGGTGTCTGGGCATCTTCCTCGGGCCTGAGTAGGAATCCTACTGCAGAGCAGGTGTGCTCTGTGGGGTCTCGCGGGCCTCCAGCTGTCAGCACATGTTGTTCAGGAGCAGCGCCCCCCAAAAGGTTGTTCACACAGACACAGGAGCAGAGGAGATGCTTTTGGTAGGGGAAAAATGCAGCTTTTCCCTGAACCGTGGAACTGGGTAGTCTGGGGTTCCAGACCTTGCCCCATTTCCCAGCCACCCAACCTTGAGCAGCTAACATGTCCTGTGCAGCCTCGACTTTCCCCATCTATAGAAGGAGGTGAACCAAGTCATGCAGACCAGCTCCCATGGCCACACCTGATTCCTAGCTGTTGCAGAGGGAATGGAGGGCGTGCTATTGACCTGCTCTCCCGCTCGGGCGAGGGCCCCCACGGTACTCACCGCTCACGGTGACCTGCGTGCCTGGGCCCGACTTAAGTTCTGTGTCGCCAGGGGCCCCTTTCTGGAACTTCACACAGTAGTAGATCCCCGTGTCTGCTGGGGTGATGTTACTGATGCGGATGGAAAAGTCCCTGTCATCTCTGCCTATGATATTTGAGGCAGTGGTCACTCGGGGGAAGGGGCTTTCTTCTTTTCCTTGTTTGAAACTGTAGACCATCTGCCGGCCTGGCTCCGACCCCCTGAACCACTTAACAGACCCCACAGGGAGCAGGGAGGTCAGGGTGCAGTTCAGAGTGGCCGTCTGTCCCGCTGCCACTGACACGAACTTGTCGGGCTGAAGCACCTGTAGCTCCTCCTCGCCGGCCGCTCCTGCAGGGAAGCACAGGGGTCACTCGCCCGTCCCCGGAGACCCTGCGGGCTTTCTCAGGTGTGAGCACAGGGACTCACTGACAAGCTCAGCACACGGCAGTGTCATCACCTGGACCCCCACAATGAACCTGTGGCGTGAGGCTGTTCCAAATGAGGAAACTGAGGCACAGTGAGGTTGAGCGAGCTGGCAGAGAGCGGGCTTAGTGCCTGGGTCCTCTCTGGAAGTGTCTTACTTCACCAAATACTTGGTGGACACTCTCTGGTTCAGGAGAAGTTGCGTTTTCAGTCCTTTACATCGCTGGACCATGGCGGGTGAGCAGAAGGGATGAGTGTGTGTAGGATGTGTGTAGGATGTCACTAGATGGCAAGACCCTCTGTGGGTCCGGCAGCCTCCTCCAGAGAGCATGTGCTCATGGTAGGGGCTGTTCCCTGGCCTGGGTGCTGGAATGGCTATGCGGTGTTGAGCTCCCTATATATGATGAACCTGTTGTTTAATAAGAAGGAAACCATGGTTTCAAACCTGGACTATTTTCCAATTCCATGATTACTGTATATTAGTGTCTATTACTGCAATAATTGTTTTCAAAAAGTGAATGGCTTAAAAGAACAGATTTCATTAACAGATAAGGGCATAAACATAATGTGGCATAACTAATGGAATATTACTTAGCCCTAAAGAGTAATGGGATCATGGTATATCCTTTTACATAGATAAACCTCGACAACATTTTGCTAAATAAAATGAGCCAGAAAGAAAAGGACTGAGCCATATTTCTAAATATAGGAAGCAGTTAGAATAGGCAAATTCATAGACAAGTAGTAGAATACAGCTTACCTTGGGATGCCTGGGAAGAATAATAGGAATTTATTGCTTAGTGGCTGTAGAGTTTTTTGCTAAGATGTTGAAAGTTTCTTACATACTTCTTGGTAACAGTTTGAAATATTGTGAATGTACTTGATGCTGCTGAATTATAACTTAAAAAATGGTCAGATGGTGCATTTTATGTTATGTGTGTTTTGCCTCATTAAAAAACATGTGATCGGGCCAGGTGACTACCCTGATTCACACCTTTGAGCTTGACTAAGTGGCAAGAGGCTGGGGACTTGAGAACCCTGCACTAGGGGTGGGGATGGACCCCGGGCAGACAGCAAGGGGAGAGCCCACTCAGTCTGTGTTTGAAAGAACCGTAGGGCCGCTCATGCTGGGACCCAGGGTCCACACTGAAGGGACAGGAGTGGCCCGTGGTCTTTGCCCACAGGTGCAGGACTTTGCAGCTCACTTTCACTGCGGCCAGACTAGTCAGTTTTCTGGAGATTCAGAGAAATACAGGAACATTCCTTCTTGTTTGAAGTGTCCTAAAACAGGCGTGGGCTCAGGGGTCCAGGCTACACACCAGAGGAGCAGGATGTGGAATGCAAATAGATCCTGTGACTTTTTTTATTTCTTTGGAGAAAATCTGTGGCTTCCCTTTGCATGGTGTGAGCTGGGGTAGACAAAGATTGGAAGAAATATATGAATGCATCGGAGGGAGAAAAAGAGGAAGTGGAAGAGGAGAGAAGGTCAGACCAGTCAGCAGGCGCTGCGGGAAGGGGAAGTCGTCATTCGTGCCTGTGACTCCTGCATCTACATCTGTGCTCAGGCCTTCTCCCTGAAAGCTGAACTTCTCTGGCCAAAGCCCACAGGACATGTTGCTGGTAGAAAAGTACAGCTCACAGTTCACAGGTCTCTACATCTCCCAAGGCGCTCAGGCCCCAACCCCGTGGCTTTCTCTCTCACCCAAATCCTGTGGTCAGAGAATTCTTCACCACGCGTCTAGGGCTGACCTCTCCCGTCTCTGCACAGCTGGCCTGTGCTGGTTTCCTTGTTTCTCCATGCCTGGGCACAGGTGATGTAAATGCAGGAGCCGCAGACACGAGTGACAGTTTCCCCTCCCACGATGCCCGCTGGCTGTCTGACCTTCTTTCCTTCTCCCCCACTTCCTCCTTTTCTCCCTCCGAAGCATTTGTTTTTCTTCCAATCTTTGTCTACCCCAGCTCACACCGTGCCAAGGTGAACCACAAATTTTCTCCAAAGAAATAAAAAAAAGTCACACCTCTTAAATGCTCTTAAAAGCACCTCTTAAATGCTCTACTTGCTTCTCTGCTCAAGACACAGAATAATTAGAATAAGGAAGCTAATGTCAGATCATCGCTTCTTTCTTTAGACTTTTGCAGCAGCATGGCAACATTTTATGGGAAGCCCAAATCCTTGAGCAGAATGGAAAAGCCTCCACTTGGGGGCTTTGCACGTGCTGTTTCCTACCAAGATGCTCTTCCCCCCAAACCCAAGTGGTCATCCCACATCACCTTATAATCTTTGTTCTCAGTGATGCCCAGCCATATTATCTCGTTAAATTATACCCCACTACAGATACTGGCAGTTCTCTGATCCAGGAATACGTTCAATTTCTTGCCCTTAACTCGTATCACACAAGAATACGCTATATTTTGCACTTACTTAGTATGTCAGTTGTCTGCTGTCATTTCTCCCACTAAGACATAACACCTCAAGGGCAACAATTTTGTCTCTTTTATTCAGCAACGCACCTCGGGCCCTGTAACAGCTTCTGACACATAGTAGGTATCCAGTAAATGTTTGTGTCATGTGACTGTCCAGTGCTATACCTCCTTGACGCCCAGCATCTAGTTGGTAATCCTGGGAGTTTCCCATATTAATCACTTCACCCAAAATAAAAACAACTTCCATGAGGAAGAAGAACCCAGGAGAAGAAAGCCACAAGCCCACTTCCCGCATTCACCCATCCTCTACTCATGCATGGAAGCTGCAGAAAGCCCACGGGGTGGAGATGGGGTCACCCACATCTGAGAAGGGTAATGGGTAAACCAGAAACTCTACAGTCAGATGGGGTTGCTCATCACAGCCCTGCGGGTTAGGTTGAGTAACCTTGAACCTCTCTGTGCTTCTGTTATTCTCATCTGTTAGGTGCAGTGATAAGGGACCCTTGGTGGTAATGACCACAGCAGATGACAACTGCAGGCATATCCGGCTGTGTCTGGTACATGGTGAATGTTCAAGAAATGGACATGTTTTGACTCATCGTGCATCCTGAGGCTTAGAGGCTTCTGTGGACATCAGATGACAGAGATAGCAATGCAGATATAATTATAGACAGGGGTCATCTCTGCACCCTGCAGGAATAGTACCTCTCCCTTCTTTCTGCCTCTTTCCCCTCCAGCATGGAGGAGGGACTCCAAGAAGGAATGCACAGAATTCTACTCATCAGACTTCCTGAGGCTGAAACGACACAGATGACAGATAAGGATCTATTCAGATGTGGCATAATTACAGCAGTAACGGTCTAGATGAAGGCTCTGTATATTTATCCTCTAGTTTCCTCCTCACCCCCATTCAGCATGAGAGTGGGACTCCAAGAAAAGAATGCATACAATTCTACTCCTTTCACCAAGGGAGATTATTTTGTCTTATAGTTTAGGGAAGAATAACAGGAAATTTTAGAGAAGTCGAACAGGAAGGAAGATGGTGGAGAGACTCAGAGACAAATGTGCATTTGTTTCTGATGTAAACATGCATTTCATATAGACTGAGAAATGACTTGAAGGGAACAACAGAAAAAGCCTTTTAAAAAAATCCCATGAGTGTGCATCTGCACACTTCTCCCGCCCGTTCACACACACACACACACACACACACACATACCACAAAATAATGCAAATATATGTGAACTGATGTCTGAGCTTGCTCATATAGATGTAGTATGTTTTGAAGATTATGTATGTTAAATGCTCATTAAAATATCAGTACTGGCCCTCCCTGGTGGTGCAGCGGGTTAAAGCACAGCACTAAGAAGCTTAAGCCACTTCCGCATGAGTTCGATCCCCACCTGCCCCAGAGGAGATCCACATGGCGCGTCAGACCTCTCCTGACCCGCCCGCTGCTCCCCTCAGCGGTGGACTTCGTCGATCTGCCTGTTCTGCTCCCCACTCTGTCTCTTGTGAATCCTCTCACCCCCCTGCACCTCTGGCCTCTACCCCAGTTCTGTATGGATAAATAAATCTTTAAAAGAAGTATATCAATACCTAATAACCATCTAACACATCCTTAACAGAAGTTCAGGAATACACACAGCAGAATTTAACCCAGTCCTATCTTCTGTTTGTCTGTCCTAGCTATCTGTCCTCTCTCTAGCTTCCACTTGTTTGTTGTTTGTCCATCTAATTTTTCTGCCACTAGCCTCCACTTAGTAGCCAACAGCATGGTAAAAAAAAAAATGAATTCTGAAGCTCTTGGCCCTAGACTTGAATTCTGGCTTCCCCACCAACAGGCCCTCCCTTGGGTAGACGGCACCGGGCAAGATACGCTCTCTGCCTCGGTTTCCCCTTCTGCAAAGCAGGGACAATACTTGTAGTTATAGACAGATATGTTGTGAGGATCAGCCAAGTTAACACAGTTGTCAAACCATCATCTGTTTTGATGTCCCTGATGATAGCTGCAGGTGACAGACCCACACAAAGTTGCTCAGGTCCTGGATTCCATGCTGTCAAACCGTGCCTCATCCTTGGCTCTCTGTAGCAGCCCTGGGAACTTACCCTTGTTTACCCAAATGCCCTAAAACTCCATGGCTAAAGAGGCATCCTGGGCAGGAAGATGGGATCTTCTTGTGGCCGTGCTCACCTGTGAGTCCCAGTAGCAGAGCCAGCAGCACGCAAGGAGTCTGGCAGACCCAGGAGGCAGGGACAGCCGTCCTGGAGACTGTGGTGCGTGCTCTGCCCCGGGGGTGTGCTGGGGACACCCAGACTCTGCTCTGTGGAGAAGCCCCACCCGTGACTTAAGAGGAAGCTCTTATCATTGGGGAAATGGCGAGATGTGGACACACTCCTGTTGTGAAGTCAGAGTGAGACATGGCAGCTTCTAAGCCAGGGGTTACTCATTTGTTTTCAGAGACTTGTGCAGTCTAGTAGAAATAGTGCTTCCTCCCTCGGGGCTGGTGCTCTCTCTGC